TAACTGCACAGGGTTAATTATGAAAATAAAGAGAAATATAGCATGTGTGGCATATGAAAATATCAATAAGGGATGGTTTTTGTGAATAGTGATAACGACACATAGGCTTAGCTCTCGTCCAGTTTCTGAAAGTGCTGTTATTTGTTGTGATGGTGGTTGTGTCTTTTAATTTACTAGGTCAAAATTTGATTTAGATCTTTAAGATCTTTGTTTTAATGGTTAACAATGTAGAAAATGTGCTTGCCCGGACTTCAAAATCACTTTAAATTTATATATAAGTCATGCATTCAATCATACATAAAAATAATGACACATCATCAGAAAAACAAGTCCTAATGTTCTTTACTGGAGTACGGTGAATACAAATGCATATAGATATATGGCCGTACTTAATTATGAAAAGGCATAGAAGCAAAAGATTTGGTGGAAATATTGTCACATGTATTATTTTTGTTATTTTTTTTAGAATATTCATATTGGAAAGGACCTACAATTAATCCAATTTATTTCTGCGATAAAGAGACTTAGTATGATTTTATGTCTTTCCTTCTGCCATGGAGTTCATTGGTTCTCTGTCTTCATTGGTTGAGAGAAAAATTTGGTGCTTCATTTTCCTTGGAACCAGCAATGTTTTAGTTTCATAGACATCTATCTTTATTTATCATTTGTGTATATTTTTTCCCCAATATTTTACTTATAAATTTGGAGCTTGACTATGATTCTTTGCAAACATTCTCAGTTAGTTCCTTCAGCTGCTCTTTTAACCATATTTTTCTGGTTTGATGGTATCTGCTGTTTGCAGGGTACTTTATCAGGCACTGACAATATTTGAAAAGAAGGGGAAATGATTATTGCCCTTGAGACATTTACACTTATCAGGACAAATTCCAAAATGAATATATAAACCCAAGTTAAATGAAGCATGATGTATATAATGAAGCAACACATATTTTTAAAAGTTTTAAGGCTTCTAGATGAAGCCATAGGAAGTTGGTGGTCTGGTCTCTGAAGGCTGGACGGGACCTAACGTGGAAATGGTTGTCATATTTGGGGGGAGCGTAGCATCGTCAGTCTGGCTGGAGTAGAGGTGCGTGTTGGTGGATACTTGTAGATAGATGTTAGGGTGAAACTGAGGAGGGACTGGCACCATGCTGAGGCCCTTGAGCCATGAGAATAGAAGAGTTCGCTCACGTGGATGTACTGAAAATGAGATTTTAGGTTTTTTTTTTTAGCTTGTAGCTTTACTGCATAAAGGATCTCCAGTGAAGAGAAAGAATGCAAGGATGCCTTTCACGAAACTACGTGAGTTTGACAGTAGTGGTCGTAGGCGGTTTTTAAATTGAAACTCAATTTCCCCATATCAATGCTAAACTAGATGCTATACAGGATAATGAACATGACATACAAAAAAGGAAGAGTTTCGGAGGAAGATGTTCAGTAATTCTCAAGAGGATATAATATAGAACAGGGTTGGGGATACTATTTATGTCCTCAGAAATTTATATACCAGTGCAAGATGTACAGGTAACAAGAATAAATTTGAAATACTTTGAATAAAATGAAAACGAGTTCAGATATATTATGCTCAGACTTAGTGGAATGGAAGGATGTAGCTCGATCTTTTTCTAGTGAGAGAACTCCAGAGACCACTTTACGGGAATTCACGAAACTGAAGAATGGAAGCATGATTTGTAAGGTCTTTCCAATAAAATTTGGTAATTCATTGATTTGAATTGTGGACATTGTAATCAGTTATCGATTTTGACTGGGGAGAAATGATAGATTAATCCCCTATTAGAAGAGTATTGGTGTATAAGTTAGAATGAGGGCTAGCTTAGAGAAAGAGAAATAAGCTAGAAGTCTAATTTATCTACAAGTAGAACATACAGCCATTGATGTAAAAAAAAAAAAAAAAGGGCTATGGCAATTACAGACTATCAGCCAATTTTGTCAATATATTATTAAACAAAATTTTTAGAATGGGGGGGTGAGAAATGGGAGGGTGCATCTGTTTTGTCTGAGCACCATTCATTGAGTTATAGTGGCTCCGCCATACTTAAAATGCTATCATCAGCTCTGGAAACCACACTTTGAGATACTGACCAAAGGAATATTTGCTAAAGAAACTGACCAAAATGACCAAATAACTCAAAACCACCTCATGAAAATAGTTGATATATTTAACTTCCGGATACGTAGAGTCCACAGATAGATGGTGGTTATCCCAGTGTTCAAAAACAGGAACTTCTCTCTTCTGGAAGAAAAATTGGTTGTGTGTCTGTGTGTTTTCAGACTCTAGGATTAGAACTAAAGAGTGGAAACTACAGAAAGGGAAGCTTTGGCTTCATTTGGGGGAAAAACTTTCAAGTAATGTGGGTTCCTTGCCAATGGAATGAATTGCTTTGTGAGGTAGTGGATTTATTTTTATGGCAGCGGTTCAAACATAGTTGGACGACAACTCGGTGGGAGTTTTTCGGAGTATTGAGGTTTCGATTGTGTATGCATTGGAGAAGTGGAAAAACGTCGTATTAGATAATTTTAATATCCAAAGAATCCCAAGTTCATGATTTTAGGTAGTGAGAAAGGAATGGAATGAAAAGAATTCTTCCTCCCTTGTCCTTCCTCCCGTAGTCTACCTCCTTAGTTCCTCCCTTCCTCTCTTCCTTCCTTCCTCCCTCCCTATCTACCTTTGCCCTTCCTCCATCCTTTTTCCCTCTTTCTTCCTTACTTCCTTGAAAGTCTAATTGTGCCAGACTCTCCCCTAAGAACTAGGACTGCCGTGAAGAGCAAAGCAGGCATGAAACCTGTTCTCATAGAACTTACCGTTTGGGGGAGCTAGATAAAATTATCAACTCTGATAAACGCTGGGAGAGAACAAGGAGGCATCTGTTCACATCAAGGGAATCTTACCTGCCTTGGGAAGGTTGGGAAAATTCATCAGGGAGAGAGAGGGAGGAGAGAGAGAGGGAGAAGTATTTCAAAGAATCTATTGGACGTGGAAATGATTTTGGTGGCATCATTTAGAATTGAGAAGGAGATTATGGATCATCCCAACATTTTGAGGCTGCAGCTGAAAAGAGTGATTTACTGGAGATAAACAGGGACAATAGGAAGCAGAGTTGGCTTTTAAGCAAAGATATTTGAGTTGGTTTTGACCTTGTCGAGTGTGAAATGCTAACAGATATTGTTGTCATTGGTTGATGATGACATGAGATGCTTTCTTTTTCTTAATAAAAGAAATGTGCCTATGGTTTGATAACCTTAACTTTATTTTGTTTTACTAAAGTATTATTTTAAACCTTAATCCTCCACTGGCATTTATTTCTGGGCTAACTGCAAAAAACATCATAAATATTTATCTTTAAAAATTACTAAAAAGAACTGGAATTTTATGTTTAGTAATAAAATGGAATTGAGTAAGAGGATTAAATATAAATAACAGCATTTCTTGTGCCATTCAGAAGAGATTTCACCAAATCAAGTTACTCTCCAGTTATACCTATAGAATTGTTTGTGTATTTTTCCTGAGGTTTAGATCTAAGCTAAAACTTGAGTGATGAAAATATCATACATAGAGAAAACTACAGGTCATTTCTCTAAACATTGTCAGTGACATCAAAATTTTAAAACCCTTTCATTATGGGAAATTTTAAACATTTGCAAAGAGAAAGACTAATGTAATGAATCTTCCATGTCCTCATTATTCAACTTCAATGATTCTTAACTTATTCTCAATCTTATTTCCTCTATACTCCTGTTTCCCCATCCCAAATTATTTTAATGAAAATATCAGAATCATATCATTTCACTTGGAAACATTTGTGTATACTTTCAAAAGATAAGCAGTCTTTAAACAATACACCCATGGTAATAGTAATATACTACACATGAAAAATTATTCACTGATAAGGTGGCAACTCATTTTCCAAGTCAATATTGTTTCAAACCTTTGAAAATTTAATAACATAATGGAAACATTTGATATTAGATGAAGTGAAGCAGTTACATTTCCAAACGGTTTTTCCTCCTAGTATAGAGACTTCGATGTGTTACCTAAATTATCAGAAGCCGTTGATAGTTGGTGGAAGATATTCTATCATGATGGGGTGAAAATCCAGATACCCCAGTTCCAATAAAGGCCATTCCAAATTAGGCCTTAGGCTGTATTCCTCTCACATGAAGAATCAACCATGTAAGATTTCATGAGTAGTGATTCCCCAGAAAGAAACCTTGGTTAAAAAGTTGATTTGTGTGCCATTAGTCCCAGCTACTCGGGAGGCTGAGACACGAGGATCGCTTGAGCCCAGGAGTTGGAGGCTGCAGTGAGCAATGATGGCGCCACTGCACTCCAGCCTGGGAGACAGAGTGAGACCCTGTCTCTAAAAAATAAATAAATAAATAAGTTGCTTTATTACCAAGAGCTTCAAACAACAATTTGTGTCCTCACGGTTCTGTGGACAGACCGACTTAGCTGGGTCATTTTCACCTGGGCTCTCACGTGATTGCAGTCAGGTGTCAGTTGGGCTGGAGTCGTCCGAAGGCTCAGCGCACCTGGAAGTTCAGGATGGACTCTTCTCTCACATGTCTGGCACCTGAGCTGGGCGCTCAGCCGTGAAATAGCTGGCGACTGCCAGGGCCCCTCTCTCGCCACCCACCCTAGGATCATGCTGGGCTCCCTTGCAGCTCGATGGTGTCAGGGTAGACGTCTGACACGACAGGATTGCCCCAGAGTGAGCGTTCAGGGGTGTCAGGGGAAGCTCAGAAGCTTCTTTTGGTCCAGCCTTGGAAGTCGTGTGATGCTCCTTCCACCTCATTCTGCCGGTGAAAAGCTAGTTTTTAGGCAAGCCCAGATTCAAAGGGAGGAGCATAAATATCGGGAGACAAGGTTCATTGGGGAACATCTTTGGGGCTATCACAGTATTTTTCCAATCTAATTATTTTTACACATCCGTCTCCTCCCTAATGGAAGTTTTTATATTTGATTTTTTTTTTTTGAACAGGTTATCAAGGATCCTCCTCCACCACCTCCTCCTGCACCAAAAGAGGTAAATGAATGTTTTTTTTTTTCCTGTATGTTCATATCATCTCCAACTTTGATCAGTTCCATTTATTGCTAGATGACTATGATACCTATGTATTCACTTTTTAATTTGTAAAAATCAATTGTTATTTTTTGTCGTCTTATGATTCTTTTCATGTGCTAAAGGCATGGGACCTTCTTACATTGGTAGACATAGACTGGCCGTTGGAATCAATAGTACACAGAGATTTAATATGCTTTTTATACTAATATCTCAGTAGTTCTGATATCACTAATTTTATTTACAAAAAGTTAGAAGATTTAAGCTGGCAGTTTAAAAATGTTACTACTTTCTTCAAACCGATTATTGCTTGTATATTATTGTATGTGTTAGCCAAATTCATGTTAGCAACCAGAAATGAGGAATGTACATGTGTTGTATATTTTCAAAACTTCTCAAATGCTTATCTTTTTAGTTCAGTTTTCTCAGTGTTCACCCATTCTTTAAATGGTTGTTAAAATATTGTCCTAATTTTAATGTTTTACCTGTAAGTATAAAGTGATGAAAAAATACGGAATAAACAAATAATACTCAAAGAGAACTTTTGGTCACCTAGGAATGATATAAGAGAGATTCCTAAAATCTGAGGAAGGGAAGGAGTTCTCATATCTGTAGAACTCGACTTGAAATTTATGCATGTAAGCATAAATGCATCCACATGTCCTATATACTATTTTTTCATAACGATATCATTCAGAAAAAAGTTTAACTGTGAGCCAGTTCTGACTAAACAATATTTTAAGAAATAATTAAATCCATTTAAAAAACATATTTCCATAGGAGGAAGAAGAACCTCTGCCTACTAAGAAATGGCCGACTGTAGACGCTTCATATTACGGTGGTCGAGGGGTTGGAGGAATTAAAAGAATGGAGGTTGGTATCCTAAAAAAAATAGAAGATGCTAATCTGGAATATGCATTTCTAGTACTGATTAAACCATGGAAACGGTCCTTTTTACAATTCAATATTATAATATCATCATTTTTACTTAACACTGGGTCTTTTCTGGATACATTTTTTTCCTGTGGGATCATCCTTGCCATTTCAAAACTGTTCAAGAACTGGTTTCATTAGTCAAAGGATTGCATTGATAAAATCTTCATATTATGAAGGACAAAACAAGACAAAGGGCTTTTCTCATTACTTTGGAAAGAAATTACTGCACAGAGCATCTCCTCTGAAGAAACCAGCCACTTACAGTCGCAACAATGCCCTTCTTTGAAAACATCTAATAGTTACGTACTATTTGAGGGGAAAATGTCAATAGTGTGGATGTGACCTTATAACAAATATGGAGGAAGCACATTTATTTCTTTATTTTAGCTTTTAGTTACCATTTATGAGCTATCATAATTAACATTACATATCATTTATAGAATGCATTGAACTTTCAGACTGTCTCAAAATGTGGATTAAATTGGATCTTAATATTATATCTCAAAAATCAATAAGGTTTTTTTTAATCACCGTGAACTGTTTTTCAAAGTGATGGATTAATTAATAATAAGCGATCATTGTCAGCACTGAGCCCTTAACACTATAGCCAGGCCAACATCCCATTCCAAGAAGCAATTCAAAGAATTTTCTCATTAACACATTGACGTTGTTATTAAACACACATCCTGGCATTTCCTCCTTATTAGTTACCCTTCAGTTTTACTTCTTGATAAGAAGGTGTTTTGCCATCACTGCACGTTGCGTATTGTGCTATCTGTTTTGTCCCATTACTGCTAGCAAAAATCAGTAAGCTAATTAACAACTCCACAGTTGTTGCAATTTTCTCTTTTTATACATTTCAATAAAATTCAGATGCCCAAGGGGAGTTTCCCCTTTTCAGGATAAATTTCCATATTCTTCAAAAGAAGACCAGACATATTTAACATGGTTGTCACTACCGAAGTGTTTATACAAGTCATCTGACAGTGATTTCTCCTTTTCTTGACCACATTGGATCTTAAAACAATGCACGTTTTTCCTAAGAGCTTGCCACTGTATTGCTGAAATATCCTCTGAGGCAGGTACCTCGTTGCCAATAAGCTGTGGTAAAAGGCAGGTGCTAGCAGTTATTAAGTTTGTCTTTGGAGAGGATAGTGCATATGTTTTTGCACGGAGGTAATTGCGAATCTCAAACAATGCAAGAAAAAAACATGGCTAGCTAGTTCTTGTTGTTTGACACAAAAGGAAGTTTATTTTGCTTCTCTTGCCTTTGTTGTGTCATTCTAGGCTTGGAAGGGTAGGGAAAGATTGGATTGGATGTTCCTATGTGTATAAAAATACAATTGCAAATAAAATTTTTACATGCAAATATTCAAATATGATCTGTCACAACTTATCTTTATTTAGCCTCATTCCAAAATGTGTGTGTAAAAAGATATAAGTAAGTGGAAAAAAAGTTTGATAGGATATACCAAAAAATGTGAGTAGGTTTCTCTGGATGGAGAATTTTCAATGTGTGCTATATATTTCCCAACTTTTTCCTATTAATAATTTATTTGACAGTAAGAATGTACTGCTTTATATTCAGAAAAATACATTTAATTTCATTTTGAAATACACACATGTAAGATACCACATGATGAGATATATTTTAGTATGTGAGCCTTAATTGAATAAATAATAGTCTTGCTGCAAAAACTAGGAATAATGTCTCATTTTTGTTAGCCCAATATTCTAGTGTTCCAAAGATTGAGATCTTTCTTTGAAGAAAAGAATATGCATGAACCCCTAAATGGGTCCTAAGTTAAAAGGAACATTAGTGGTTTATGCTCAAGAGAGCCAAGAGTACATGCACGTCCCTAAGCAACATATAATTCGAGTTTCAGGAGTTATTGACTATTAATACAATTGCCCACCCATCCTTTTCAGTTGAAAAAAATTTGTGAGAACTCAGCCACATTTTAATAAATCTAGGTCCATTTTAGCTTTGGATAATTTGGCTACAAGATAGCCAAACAAGATGGAAATGGGAATGAGAATGAGGAAAAGGTGGCAAAGAAAATGAGCATTACACAGGGGAAACCAATACAGGTTGTGTGTGCCTTTTCCAAAACGATTGGGACTAGAAGTGTTTTAGATTTTGAATTTTTTTTTGGTTTTTGAATATTTGCATGTACAAAATGAGATATCTTGGGGATGGGAACATAATGTTTAAACACAAAATTTATTTGTGTTTTATACATACCTTATACACATACCCTGAAGGCAATTCATGCAATATTGTTAATGATTTTGTGCATGATACAGAGTTTTAACTGCAGCTTATAACATGAGGTTGGGTGTGGAATTTTCCACCTGTGGCATCATGTTGGCACTCAGAAGTTTTCAGATTTTGGAGCATTTTGGATTTCAAATTTTTAGATTAGAGATGTTCAGTCTGCATGTAAAAATACACAATAAAAATTGAACTGAGAATTAACTTTCTGAAACATGAACTTTATTTAAACTTGGAGAAGGAAAATAGAAAACATAATCTGTTTTAAAAGCATTCCTACTCAAACCTGGAAAGTAGTTCTCTTTTAAAAAGTACCTTAAACACTGGAAAGTAAAAGGAATTATAGAAATTATGACCTCATCTGAATTACAGAACAAATCTTCATAACTAAGGTTATTTTAAGCCAATGTAGGGATTTTACCTAGAATTTTTTTTCTTACTCCTCTTTTAAATTAAATATTTAAACATTATGGTAATGGGAATTTGCAGAAAGCTGGGACTGAGCTGATGTTAATAACAGCTGTTAGCACAACTGATCCTCGATACCTAATGACTTCAAATGTGTGTTTCTGCCAATTCAGCGTGAAACCGTTTTTGTTTCTTTTCTCAATTCTGAAATTGCTCCTCTATGATATAACCTTCTAGTCATCCAAATATGCTCTGGAAATTATGGAATTTTTATCGTTTATAATAAAAGCCAAGTGGAGTTGGAAGAATTTAGCGATCAAGCTTGCACTTATTTTTTTCATAATAAAAAAGCTAGATTATATTATTTCTGCTGAGGCTCCCTTTAGCAATTGATTCTTGTCATTCTTTTGTCCTTTTTAATTATCCCAATATGGCCAAACTAAAACAGTAAAATTTATGCACAGATTCATGCCATATGTATGTAAATATATATATGTTTACATTGTTTGATTGTTTTTAAGAGTTTTAGGAATACTGTACAAAGTATTTTCTAGTTTTAGACTTTGAGATTAAGTAAGAATTGTTTGTGGTGATGATGAAATAAGTCCTCCATGAACTAACATTAATGAATTTATTTAATGAATCTCCTTTAGACCTCAGCAACTACCTATCACAGGTATTTTGATAGTTGAGTCCCTAGAAGTGACATATTGGGTCAGAATTCTAGTTTAACCAGCTTCATATTCTTTATCTGAGAATAGTAAAAGAAGAATGTGATTACCATTACCTCTATGACATCACCTGTGAAGGACAGGCTAGGGAGGTGTATATATTGAAATCTTATCATTTCTTTTTTTTTTTTTTTTATCATTTGAGTGGATCTAAATTTTATCTACTTATATTTCTACCCTGAATTACTTCTCTAAATTATGACATTTATATGTTTACTTAACTGTGTATGTCCCTTTTTTTTTCCCTTACAATTGAGACTGTATGCTTGCAAGGATATGTGTCCTGATTTTAGAGTTTTTTAATTCAATTTAGTTATATCTAAAGATTTTATAAGTGTGTGTTTATCTAGGTGAAGACACTGCGATTTGAAAGAGAAGGTCATTTCTCTGGAAAGAAAGCCAACTATCTAGCTCTGAAGGTTTAATGGTGTTTAAAACAATTTTAACAACCTCATAAAGAACATTCTAGTACCATTGATCACACTGAAAGATACAGGTACATTTTAATGACTCAACAGGGTCCACTTGAAATTGAAAGCCCATTCTAAAATTGTAGTAAAGAAAAGGTAAAAACATCTAAGTAAGCCTTATCAAAAATCTGTGAATAGTTCTATGAACAGTTATCATCTGTATCCCTACCCACTAATTCAGGTCATTAAAATGCTTTAAAAGGTCTTTTTTTTTTTTTTCCTTTGTAAAAATCACTTAACTGTGGTGTGTGTCATAGTGTGCCCTGGATAGGTCTCCATATTTCTTTTTAGAGCTTCACTAGTCTGATCTTTGTTGTCTCTGGTAATGTCTTTGGTTTCTGAAGAACTTCCCACTGCTCCTTGTTGGACAAAGCCCTTCTCCAGGGGCCACGCCTTATTCAAATGACCACTTTCACCCAAATCTGGCCTTTAATTCTCGTTCATTGAAAAATAAAGAAAATAATTTGATCCTGTGGTTTTTCAATGCCAAGAGTTTTCAGAGAAGGAAATTCCCTAAAATTTGTGGAATTCCCTATCGTCCCCAAATTTTTCTTTTCAAAACAGAGTCTTTTCAGATTCGTCTTTCTCACTGAAAAATTCATATGTTAAATAACCATACTCAGATGAGCACGGGAACTAAAGACTGAAAGCCACTTTACAAAGTAAAGCTTTATAAAAGTAAAGAAAACTCATATGTAATTATTTTACTTTCAAAGTATGTTTAAATCATACTTTTCACATTACTCAAACTCGATGGAAAGTTTGGAAGGAGCAGCTCCTTTGTGTAAAATACATTTGTAAAATTCAAACCAATTCGAAACTTAATTAACCCATTTCAGATCGCCAGTGTTCAAATCTCTGCCCTGCCATTTACTAGCTTTTCAGCTTTGGGCACACCACTTAACCTCTTTAGTGCTTCATCTGGAAAGAAAAATAGTATTTATCTCTTTGCGTTTTTGTATGGGTTAAATGCAGGCTGATACTCAGTAATTACTCAATAAACGCTAATTTTCACGTATTTCTCCCGGTGTCGTCAGTACCTATGTGTGTGTTTAGCTAGCAGAGGATCACACCTAATCAGAAAATAGAATTATGCACTGTCATGCATTTCCTATGTCAGCCACAAACTGACTCCTTATTTGAAACCATGGAGAAATGACTGCTTCAAATTTGACTCCAGATTTTCACAAAGAGTCTTTTTTTTTTTTTCTAGGATCTTAATATTAGATATATTAAGTGGTGATGAGAAACCTATTAAACCTCAGAATAAGAGGTTTAATAGGTTAATCTACTTTTTTGCTTCGAGATGGTGAACCAAAGGACCATGGCTCGATAAGCGCCTGTTCCTCTAGAACGGCGGTCCCCAACCTTGTTGGCACCAGGGACTAGTTTCATGGAAGACAATTTTTCCATGGACAGGAGGAGGAGGTGGAGGAGAGGATGGTTTTGGGATGATTCACGTGCATCACATTTATTGTGCAGTCAGACCTCTCTGCTAATGACATTCTGTATTTGCAGCCGCTCCCCAGCACTAGCATCACCGCCTCAGCTCCACCTCCATCATCAGGCGTTAGATTCCCTAGGAGCCGCAACCTAGATCCCGCGCATGCGCAGTGCTCCTGCGAGAATCTAACGCCCTCTGACCTGGCAGGAGGCGGAGCTTTGCTCACTCCCCACCTGCTGCGGTGCAGCCTGGGAGCTAACAAGGCCACAGCCCGGGGTGCTGGGGACGGCAGTTCTAGAGCACTTCCTGTCTGGCAGAGAGCACTTCCTGTCTGTCTGACAGTGGTGTTTTCCGTTTGTTTTCAAGGTCCGCTGGGGTGATAAGGGGTCTACGGAGGAAGGCGCGAGGCTGGAGAAAGCCAAAAACGCCGTGGTGAAGATTCCAGAAGAAGCGGAGGAGCCGGCCAGGCCCAGACCTCCGCGGCCCAGGCCCGCACACCAGCCCCCGCAGACGAAGTGGTACACGCCGATTAAGGTGCGTGTCCATATTTGGCGTCCTTGACTCAAACCTCCTGAAGGAACTGCGGTTTTTTTGGTCCGCCTTCCTTTCCACTATTTAAAAGACGACAGGAGCAGATCAGATAGCAGATATTCATCTTAGGGTTTGACGACTGAATCCTTTCTCGGCAATAAGAACCTCCAGATTTTTGTCATGTATTTATTTAGACGATAGGGGATGAGCATTTACCTTCTTCATTTTATCTTTCTTCGTTTTTCCGGTAAATAGAGGCTGAGGACATTGCCTGGGAATTTAAAAATGCCGTTTTCCTTCAGGGTCGTCTGGATGCGCTCTGGGCTCTGTTGCGGCGACAGTACGACCGGGTTTCCTTGATGCGACCTCAGGAAGGAGATGAGGTTTGTGTAGGGGAAGGGGAACCATGTTGGGGAAGAGCTGACTGCTCGGCTCAGTATCATGAAGGGAGGGAAATAATAATCAAAAATAACGCTAAAGCCTTTATTATACTCAAGGAAGGAAATAGTATTGTCTGGTGCAAATTCACATTGCACGGAGTGCCTAATAAATTATTAGCTATTGTTAGGATGTATCTTCGAGCTACAGTTTCACAGAAGTCCCTTTACAAGCGATTCATAAAAATTAGTCATTTGAAAACGTACTTTAATAAGCACACTCATTGCTTCGGCCTTTGACTTTGAAGACATCATGTTCTGAGGTTTTATCTGGTGGGAATGAGAGACTGGGAATTAGTTGCCGAAATCTTACTCTAGCATTTAGTAGCAATGAGGACTAGAGAGAATGCCCCAGAACCTCAATTTCTTTAGGTATAAATGTGTTTCCTGCCTTCAACGGTTGGTGTAATCTAATTTCTTGAATGTATAAAAGTGTCTTTAAAGTTATAAAAAATTATAAAAATCCGTGACAGTGATATATATATATGCATACACATATATACATACACACATATGTATACGTATGTATTATTACTCCACCAAAGAAGCCTATTTGAGGCTTTTTTGTTTTGCAAATTTGGCCAGAATTACTCAAGTTCTATAATTTTTTAATATATTAGTACTATTTCCTCTTGTGTCAATGTAAGAAAAATTGTTTAAGACCTTTTTCATGTGTAACAGTGGGTGGATTTGGTTCAGAGACAATACTATTCATTTCATTGTATGTCAACGTGATGATTATTCTGTTTTAACAAGGAAGTGAACATGCATTTCAGCTTTGGAGGACTTTAGGTTCATTTGGGTATGGTATGCTGTTTTTTTAAGGATGAAATAATTGATGAAACTAGTATTTATCTTACAATGCCAAGCGAAGTTATATTTAGTGTTAAATGGTTTTAACTTGATGTTTAAAATACAAAATGGTCTCAGTCTTAAATTTTTACTTCTATGAAATGGGGGTAATTTAAAAAACATTTTGGTTCAATCATTTAGAAAATCCAATGTGAGAAAATATTCCTGGAATTTTTCCAACAGATGATCATCGTTTACCCTTTGCTAGGACCATAGGTAGAGAGAACTTCATTGGTTTATGAAGTAGCCTCTTTGATTATGAGGTCACTGTGGTTCTTAATAGAAACTTTTCATATAATGAAATTTGCGTCTCTGTTTAAATTCGATTGTCTTTGGTGTTCTGCTTCTGGAACAACATGTAACAACTCTTCTTTCTCTTCAACATGCTAGACTTTCACTTCAAGTGTTTCAAAATTGTTTTCACACATCATCTTAGTTTTCTGTGCCTCAGGTTAGACACTAGTTTGTTCAATAATTTTCACCTTATTAAGTACTGGGAATTGAACTAGCACCAAAGATGTATTAACCAGCAGAAACAGACAGTGGTCTCAACTTTCTTGCTAATTCTTTATATATTCCTTTCACTATCATGATTAAAGTCTGGCACAGCTAATTTTGATGCATGATGATAAAATAGGATGATCCGCTTTGGCGGTGCTTAATGTATGCATGGAGAGACTACCATGGCTCGTTTACCTCCTAGTTATTGTGGCTAGTTAGTCAAAAATTCAACCGACTAAGCCTTATGGGGTTTTAACCAATTTTGTTTGTATAGACACGGTTTACCTCATAGAATCACATGGAGTAAAGAAAATTTTACGGGACTAAGATGCCTGCCTGGAAGTATCCTCTGCTTCTCTGGCTGTTGTTTAAACGTAGACCAGACGGTTGGTCTAGCTGTCTCTCTATCACCCTTGATACTCATTGAAGAAGGGGGAAAATGGACCTCAAAGCGCGGTGTGTTTGTGTGTGTGTGTGATTATAAAGCAATTGGCTCATTGTAGAAATCAGGAAGAGTTTTGGACAGTTTTTCTAGTTAATAACAAATGTAGTTTATTTTATATTGTCAGGAAATAAGAATGCTTTCTCATATCCGAATCTCGAAGAAAGTAATAATGACTCTTTCCGGAAAGAAAAGGCTAAAACAAACTTCATGCCACTTGAGAGACAATCAACCGCACTTGTTTTCAGGTTGCGCCTAATGGTTCCAAGTCAACACCACCTCTGCCTGGTCGGCAGTGCGTTTTCTGCCTAGGAAAACAGTCTTGTCATTTATTTATGAACTGCTTACACAGAGCCTCCCTCTCCAGAGTTGAGTTTAGTAAACGCATGAGCATGCAGGGCACTCAACCCGAAGTCACGCGCCTGTCACTCTGCAAGTCCCGTCAGGGCGAGTTTCCAGCCAGATGTTCTTCCGTGGCTCCGAGGCCGCACGGGCCGGCTGGGGAGGACTCGCCGCCGAGCCTCGATGGAGTGATTGACGTTCAGGCACGGAGCACCGCCGCGGCGCGGGAAGGGCCCCTGCCCAGGGCGCCGGTCCCGGGGCGCGCGCAGCCCGGGCACCGCTTCGATGGCGCAGCGCGCGCAGGTGTGTCCAGGTGAGGCGGCGCGCGCAGGTGTGTCCAGGTGATGGCGCGGTGCGCAGGTGTGTCCAGGTGATGACGTGGCGCGCAGGTGTATCCAGGTGATGGCGCGGTGCGCAGGTGTGTCCAGGTGATGACGTGGCGCGCAGGTGTGTCCAGGTGATGGCGCGGTGCGCAGGTGTGTCCAGGTGATGACGTGGCGCGCAGATGTATCCAGGTGATGGCGCGGTGCGCAGGTGTGCCCAGGTGAGGCGGCGCGCAGGTGTGTCCAGGTGAGGCGGTGCGCAGGTGTGCCCAGGTGAGGCGGCGCGCGCAGGTGTGTCCAGGTGATGGCGTGGCGCGCAGGTGTGTCCAGGTGAGGCGGCGCGCGCAGGTGTGTCCAGGTGATGGCGCCGCGCGCAGGTGTGCCCAGGTGAGGCGGCGCGCGCAGGTGCGGCCCGGCAGGTCGTCGCCGGCATCTGCTCGCAGCGGCCTCCCCAGCCCGCGGTTGGCGGCGGCGCAGAGCCGTCCCGGTGCCGCAGGCAGCGCGGGGCGGGCCCAGCTGCGCTCCCGGCCCGCCGCAGGCGCCGACGCGACATCTGACGCGGGGACACGGCGCGGGAGGGCGCTTCAGAGACGGCCCCGCGCCGCGACATCTGCCGCCCGCGTCCCGGGGGCGCCGGGGAACAGCAGGCGCGCACGCGGCCTCCACCGCCGCCGGCCCTTTGAAGGGCCTCCATCGGCGCGCGGGAGGCCGCGGCAGGAGTTTGCTTGGCTTTCAAAGCAGCGTTTTGTTTTCCCCGCAACGACAAGGCGATTTATAAATGATGCATCGCCACGCGCGCTCCTTTCCGCTTTGAAAAGAGGGAGAGAGGGAGGCAGAGAGGCAGAGGAAGAAGAAAGCGCAGCTCTGGTTTTGGAGCGGGGCCGCGAGCCGGTGAGCTCTCCGAGGAGCCGCGTGGCCGTGTTCGAGGTCACAGGTCACGTTAGCCTTCGCACGACAGGCCTCCCCCGCAGCCAGAAACTCGTGCGCCGCGGTGGAAGACGCCTGGTAGCACCCGCGAAGTACACCTGACGTTTGTTTGTTTTTACACTTGCAGGACAGGCCTTCTTAGGACACGGAGGTGAAATCGAATTAGGTTTTCTACAGATGTAATGTTTTAGTAAAACAAAATTTAGATAATTGCATTGACTTTGTTTCCTATTCATAAAGCCTTCATAGTTAGAGCTGTGTATTAAAAATAACACGTTAAGTCAAAAATAAGCATTTTCTTTTTGGGGGGGGGTTTCCCCCTCTACTACCTACATTCTGACACAAAAAATTCAAGAATTTGTTTCCACTGTGAATATTGCAAAGACTCCTAATTGTGTACACGTATGTGTGACAATAGAATTGGTTAGAATATTTATTGGCTGGATAGGGAAGAGCACCAGGGGTTGGTAAGATAGTGAAGATTCTATGGTCATGTAAGTTATTGTCATTCATAAAGTTTAGGCCCCCTAATCGGGTGAAATAGCTGCATGACTTCCGCTCACCAAAGGCGTCCTTTGGAGTAGGAAGTAGCCAGGGAGCGATGGTCTGGGGACAGCCGCTCTAGGGTGTGGCTAAGTTTCCAACTAGTGGTGAAGTGAGCAACATTAAGTACTTAGTTTTTAATATGTCAAGAAAACTTCTGTTAATTGTGCAGATGTAATTTCATTGTTTGAAATGATTGGCGGCTGCTTTTTTTTTTTAATGTCCTTTCTGACAGAACACAATGCCAGTCCTCCAATTTTTAAAAGTCTACAGCAAAACGGAACAAAAATATCTGCGACCACAGGTAACCAACTTCGTTTAAAAGGCAGAGAAGCCTGGTAACCTCAATGGCAAATGATTTGCGCTCTACTTTATATCTCTAGTTCTAAATTTATGTCCATGCCGCTGCCAGTCCTGCTTCTGAATTCTCAGGCTCAAAACACGCTGGCCTCGCCGCTTGTAATGGCAGCTTCTTGAGTGATTCCCACCCTCCCAGAGATCACACTGAATTCCATGATGCTCACAAACCGCCCAGTGCTTAGCCCTGCTAAACCACTAAACCACTTCGTCTTCAAGCTGAATAGTGTCTTCGCTAGCAGAGGGTTTGCACCACACTGCTGCCTCTCACATTTGCCAGGTGTCAACCACTTGTGGGTCTTTAGGGCCGATTGAAACTTTCGCTCATTTGATTTGCTGCTTCAGATCCCTTCAGTGGCTGGAATTACACTGGTAATGCACTCTTTTCTCAAATGATTTTTTTTAAACATTATTTTCATTGATAGCCTGCATTACTCGGTATCATTATTCCAAAAGTCATTATTTTAAAAGAGTGCATTCTTAAATGTAGGTTTTAGGTCCCATCTAAATATTCTGTGCCATGTAGCGAAACTTTGTAATAGGTGTTAGGGGCTGTAAGAAAACCTTTTATTTTAGCTTCAGTCCTATTGCATAAAAAATGTCCGTGGTCCTTTCATATATTTCCTTTTTTATATTAAAGCGAAAGAGGAGAGAAAAGT